CCCCCATGTGTCTGTGGAGCTACAACAGGCTCCAGCCACCAGAGGAAGCCCCACCGCAATGCTGCAGTCAGCCCCACCTGCTGGAGTAGCTACCTGTCACACCCCTCACCTTCAAGCAGGAAATGAGTGCTGCTGTGCAACTCTACAAAGGAGGTGGGCTGGCGGAGAATTTTTTGTGCGTGTCTGCGCAGGTGCTCACCAGGTGATCATAACAATGGACTCAAAGAACTCAGTCTGTTTATCTTAACAAAGCCAAGGGGTCTGCAGTCAGCCCCACCTGCTGGAGTAGCTACCTGTCACACCCCTCACCTTCAAGCAGGAAATGAGTGCTGCTGTGCAACTCTACAAAGGAGGTGGGCTGGCGGAGAATTTTTTGTGCGTGTCTGCGCAGGTGCTCACCAGGTGATCATAACAATGGACTCAAAGAACTCAGTCTGTTTATCTTAACAAAGCCAAGGGGTGACTTGATTTACTATAGGTGCCTACATGGGGAACAAATAATTAATAATGGGTTCTTTCATTTAGCAGAGAAAGATATAATATGATCCAGTGACTGGAAGTGGAAGCTAGACAAATTCACACTGGAAATAAGTTTAAATTAAGAGTCATAATGGATTCTCTAATATTTGAGTTTTTAAATCAAGATTGGATGTTTTTTTCACCAAGATAGGTTCTGGGCATTTTATGTAGGAAGTTCTATGGCTTGTATTATACAGGAGGTCAGACTAGATTGTTATAATTGTCCTTTTTGGGTGTGGAGTCCTTGTACTTATTGTTAAAAAGCTAATTTCTGCTATACCTAGATTGCATATTTCTTGTCGGCTCAGCTGAACCATATTAATCTTTTTATTACTTAGAAAAGTAATAATAAAAAAAGTTGTATGTAAGGTTCACCTCGTCTTGATCCATTTAAAGTTCCTCCTGTGTATTTATGGAAAAGCTTGTGTAATCTAAAAAAAATTCCATGGTAATCTAGTGTGTTTGGTAGGGGAACACTCTGCCTTCCCAAAGTGCCAGCCTGGCCCCGCCCACACTCCACCCCCGAACGCCTGCTGTAGGCATTTTGGGGGTGGAGCGTTGCTGCCCCCCAGTACCCCCACACTCCTTGTGATCTGGGATGGCTCGGGCCACTGCCTCCCTTCCTGCTGCTCCTGGGGGAAAGGGAGGCTTGGGCAGCCTGGGGTCACTTCCATTCCAACTGCTCTGTGGAAGCTTGGGCTGTGCAGCTGCCTCTCTTTCCGTCACTCCGAGGTCTGGGGAGTCTGGAGCCCTATGGCCTCCTACCTCCTTGCTGCTCCTGGGGACAGAGAGGCTTGGGCCAGCTCCAGCCACGCAGCCGCCTCCCTCCCTGCTGCTCTTG